TATTAATATAATTAAATAACTTACCGAAAATGACTTTTAAAATAAAATCAGCATCGGTATATTGCCAAACAACATCTTCGACATAATTTTTACAATGTACCTTCGGTATTCTTGGTTGACGTTCATAATAATTATGTATCATTTCTGCTAATTCTAAATCTGAATCCACTAGACTCTTCATCACTAGAATCAAGTGCTAACTTTATAACAGTTTCAAATAAGAATTTTTTCTGTAAAGTTTTCTCCATACTTAGGTTATTTCGCTGACGTCGCTATACGCTAACAGCACTGAAAATATCGTTCCAAAATGAAAGCTGCGTTTGCATGAAAAGCATGCTTACTAAAATTGGAACGCTATTGGTAGCATGCACTTATGACGACATACACGCAGCACTGGCAATCAATTTTGGAACACAGCCAATGCGTACTCTAGTACTACTATCTCTATGGCTATACCTCAAGCGGTCATTTTTTCAAAACGCGCTCTCATTAGTAAAAATTTCAAAAATTAATATCTATTATATATATTAATATTGCGAGAATCGCTAAACAGTATGTGTATTTATTTCGATTCTATCTATTTTCCTGTGCGAGATTGGAGAAGTCTCGCGGGACACCTTGTATACATATACTTTAATATATGTATAAATATTTTACTAACGACTATCTGGAGACACGGTAATGTCTCGGCACTAAGGCAATAATAATTACCCTGATAAAAAAATTTCGCTAAAATTATTTCATGTTTTAAAGCATTTCAGCAAAATTGTTGAAAGTTTACTGAAATTTCATTGAAAGTAAATTTTTTAATTAACATCGAAAAATTTTCTTTGAAATTTTGTTGAAAATTTAGTTAAATTTTTCAAAAATCTCTAAAAGTTAAACTGAAATTTCTATAAAATTAAATATTCGCTGAAAAATGTCCAAAATAACGTGGAATAATTTTAGTCCATTAGTAAATTTTTTCCATCAGAATGACCAATTAAATTAAACTACTAGAAAAATTCATTTTTGTATTCTTAATTATTATGATAATAAAAAGATTTTATAGAATTTTTCAAGCGTCTTTTCGGACGTAAAACGTACTTTTGCGAATAATTAGTTAAAAGGACAATCAACACAAAAACAAAATAATAAAAATGACTATCGCAACATTATATGTAATGACACTAATGATTGTGTTCCAAAATTGATTACCAACACTGAAAATCTACAGTTTACGTCAAAAGCACTACAGGTTTTTAGTACTAGCAGTCAATTTTGGAACACACCCAATATTGAAGATTATGAAGACTATTATAAAAAAAAGTACTTACACATTCAGTTTTTTATTTAATGAAAGAAAATACTTTTTTTTTTTATAAAACATCTAGATATAATACAGTAGTAAATGTACTCTGATTGTAATATATTAGGTGTTGAACTTAATTCCTGCCGTTTTTTCGTCTCCAAAATTTATTTGTTTCGAAGGGAAGATGAATGAATACCTTAATCAAAGTAATTTCCTTCATTTTCCATTACTTTTTCCCATCTCTCCGGCAATCTCACGACGGTAGAACGCGGTTTCTTTCGAAGCGATCCATTCATTCACTCATTTTTGGACTTCTTCGTAACTGGAGAAGTGTGTCCGTAAGTGCGTGTTGCATCGATCGGAAGAAATGGTAATCCGACGGTGCCAAGTCTGGAGAGTACGCTGAATACGGGAGGATTTCCCATTCAAGTTGTAAAAAGTGTTTGCTTCACTCTTTTCGCAACATGCGGTCGAGCGTTATCATGCAACAAAATAACTTTGCCTCGATTGCTGATTACGGATAATTTTTTTCCATTAATTCATCACTCAATCAGCATAATTTTGCTGTTGGTAGCGATCAGATGTAACGGTTTCATTTGGACGCAAGAGTTCGTAATACAGCATATCCTCCTGGTCCCACCAAATGCAAAGCAAGGTCTTATGCCCGTGAATATTCCTCTTCGGCGTTGAAGTTTGAAGCGGATGGTTGGCCGGGATCCACACATGATTTTTTCCGCTTGTGATTATCAAAATAAATCCATTTTTCATCGCCAGTCACGATGCGCCACAAAAAAATCTTTTTTCTTTGCCTGGCAAGCAAAGAATTAAGTCGCAATAGACAAACGATTTAAAATGGCATCTTCTGACAACTCATGTGGTAGCCATATCGCTTTCCTTATGAATCTTTTCCATGGCATGCAAGCGTTTTGAGATGACCTTTGGAGTAACATTTAAGGGGATGCTAAAGGCGTTCTGTTTTATCACGATTCTATTTGAGGAGAAATATCCGAATTGGCTTTATGGATTGCAAAATCCTTTCACAGAATAAAAGTACGCACGAAAAGGTATACAGCAAACTCTGATTTCACGAGAAAATCGGAAAAAAAATTCACTTTTTCTGACACGTACAGCTGTTACTTGAGGTTAACATTCACTTAATATAAAAGTTGTATAGATCGCAGATTGCAAATAAGCGTCTTGCAGTATTGGGATGACTTGTACGAACAATCCTGAGTTTGCGGAACCAAGATTAAATGCGTAGAAAAAAATATTTTTTTTCAAATAGAAATAACGATCTATGCGAGATTCGGAACGTCAACAGAGTTTGACAGAGCAGAAATTGCGTTTAAAAGTAGTTGCGCCGTCTTGAAATAGATGGCGTTGTAGAGCATCGGTAAAATCAGGTATTGAACGTGATCCTACTTTGCCAAAAAAAGTGAATTTTTTAATTTTTTCCGATTTTGAAATCAGGGTTTGCTGTATACCTTTTCGTGCATACTTTTATTCTGCGAAAGGATTTTGCAATCCGTAAAGTCAATTCGGATATTTCTCCTCAAATAGAATCGTGATAAAACAGATGACTTTAGCATCCCCTTAACGCTTTCGACAACTCTAAAAAGCGTTTGAGCTGGATTTCTCATCAAGCAATTCTTGCATCTTCAATTCTTTTTGGCTGTCGTGGACGTTCTTTCTCTCTCACATCAAAATTACCGTTTCAGAAGCGTTCAAACCAAACTCTACATGTTCTTTCTGATGAAGTTTCATCACCGTACACTTCGGATAATAAGCGTTGCGCTTCAGCTGCGGTTTTCTTGAAGTCGAAGTAGTGAACATGTCGGAAAAACAGCTTATCGCGATTCATTTTCAATCGATTGAAAAATTTCTTTGGCGTCGAGAAATTTAACCTGACAGGATTGAATCACTTTCAGTAATGTCTAAACTACAAAAGACATACGACTTCATCGTCGAAACTTGCCAGCGTTGGAGCAAGCACTCTCTAGCAGCGAGCGGCAGGAATTAAGTTTAACACTTAATAATATTTTAAAAAAATAGTACCATCTTATTGTGTATAAAATTATTTTAAAAAAGATACAATATGAAATTTTTTTCTTGTCTTGTTAAAGCCAGTCTATTCTATATCGAACAAGTAAAGCTTGTTCATTAAGTAATCAGAATAACGATACGCGTGGTCCGTGTTGAATAACCTGTTGCATTCGCGAATGAATAAATATGTATTTTGCATATTTTCAATTTTATCGTCTATACGTGAACCATAATGTTTGCAAGACGAATTCTCATCACAAATGCTGAAAAATACACATAATATATTTTATATTAATAATATTATAATATTTTTTACAATCTGCACAATACAATTTAATGAAATAAATGAATTTTTGATTTTACAATAACATTCTAATATTTTTATAGTATTTTAATAATATTTTCTCTCTCTCTCTCTTTCTTTCTCGCCGTTTCCACGTATACAGCATTCTTAAATTATTAATTATTAATTATAATATTATATTATACAGTAAAAAGATTTCTTTATATAAAATTATAATAATTTATTTTATATATATTTTTTAATTATTGTGTTGTTTTATACATATATGGGGCATTCCATGCCAAGTGGGCCACCCATTTTGCGAAGTTTTATAGATTTTGTTCATATTGCTTGAACTTAAACAGTTTGATGAATAAAAACTCTATGCCGAATAATATACCTGTAGGCTAACTGGTTGCCGAACTGTAGAGCCGTCAATTTTTGGGCTTTCTCGTCGCAGCGCTCTTTTCGCTTGTCGTTAGTGAGCATGAAAGGCAAGTTTGAAAATGAAATGTAGACGTTTCCTTATAGAAAATTGAATGCTCTTTCACGTAAGAATACTCTTTTTTCGATCAGACCACGGTTTACAACGATGTTTTGAAGTTTTCAAAAGTGCGCCTAAAAAGCCAGTTTCAATTTTCTTTTAATATAGCTAAAAATTTAGCCCCAGGTCTCTACTTTGTTACTCTAAAAGGACGGGGATGCTGGACCTACGAAATTGTGGGTACTTTACAGTCTTATGAAAATCTCCGAAACGACTGAACGGAATGAGAAATCCTTCTACAGGATTAATATAGACACAAAATTAGTAAGTGGCGTTGAGAATTATATGCTAAAATCGAAAAAAATTAAAAACTTACATTTTTTCGACTCGTAGATGTGTCACCTGACGAACATATTTCCTTGATAAACAAGTTTTACTGCTTGTATGGACTAAATGATTCAACACCACCCGGCGTATTACGTGAATAAACAACACTGACTTTACAGAACTGAGATTGAAAGCACCAAAAAAGATATTTTCATTGGACTGTAAAAATGGTAAATTCGTTTACAAAACTAAGACTCGACACAATAACCAACCAAGAAATACGTTCAACAGTAGTTGCTCGATTTTCTGAGAGATGGCAATATAATCGGATAGGGGCTAGGGACCCTCAAGTAAGGGATCAGACAACATCGTCATTAGAGGGATACCGGAAGTACGTTAGTTAATGCGCGGGAGTATTCAAATGCATTGTTATTAAGACCTGTATTAAACAAGCTAGAATAAAAGGATAAATCCTGCGCATCATACGTGAAATGGAACATAGTTAAGAGCTTTGTGAACTGCTCCCTGTCTTTACGTTAATATATACGTTATAAATATGATAATTCTATCATTATATACATATATTATGATAGTTACATAATATTATATCTACTTATATTACATAAGGCAGAATACTTTCTAGGTGTCCAACTGACACGACCAGAGGCACGATAGATTTTCCATTTTTCTCTTCTTGTGGGAGATTTCGGGAAATGAGGCATTATATGGCCATTTCTACTTAAATTTTTGCAATTTGGATTTCACAGTATCGCATTTCGCAATGATTTAAAAAATATGTAAACTGTATTTTCGAACCGTACATACGTATAATATCTACATCTTAAAACAATTAACAATACTGAGCAACTAAATTAGCAATTACTAGTGACCCTCTAATAAGAGTCTGGCCACCTTCTCCCCGGTTTGTGATTGGTCCGACATTTATCATCCATTCCCGCAAATTTCTTTAAATTTATAAATTGTAAAAATTAATAAATTCGTAAAAATTAAAGTAGAATCAATTACAATTTTTATTTTTATTATTATTTAACTTATATTAACATTATTAAATATTTTCTATAAAAACTTTTATGTAAAAAAAACGTTGCAATATGTCTTTCATAAAATAAAAACAACAATTAA